AAGAAAAAAGCCGGAAGTGGTGCTGTGTCTCAAGTGGTAGAGCGCTAGCCTTGAGCTGAAGAGCTGAGGGACAGTGCCCAGGCCCAGAGTTCACGACTGACCAAAAAAAAAAAAAAAGTCCACATTTTTATGCTTGTAGTGTCCCATGTCTCTGAGGCTCTCCTTTTTCCCCCTCCATTTTTCTTTCAGTTCTTTAGACTGATAACTGAGACGTCTCCGGGCTTTATTTATCCCCTTTCCGCTCAAGTCTAGGGCTCACCCTTTCTAACACATGTTCATTGAGGTATTGTATTTTTCGATCTTAGCATTCCTATTTGGCTCTTTAAAAAAATCTGATTATTGACATTCTCTATTAAGACATATTTGTCTTTCCTATACTTCTTTAATGGAGTCTCCTTTAGTCTCTGAATATGTTTAAATAGTGATTAGAAAGCCTTTACCACTTGTTCCAGCCCTCGGAACCTCAGGGCTCTTTTCCAGGGACTGCTGGGTTTTCCCAGTGTATGGAACACATTTTCAGGTCTCCTACTTTTTACCCTGAAAATTCCCATCAGGATGACGTATTATTTCAACTCTGGACGAAGACGCCTTCATCCGGGCTTGCTGTTAGCATCGTCTGCCTTGTTGCTCACTTGAATACTGCTTCCCTGAGCCAAGTCCAGAGAGTCTGTATTTCTTGAAGCATGGAGAAACTGAGTTTTCTGTTCCCTTGAAACAAGCAAGCAAAAATGTTTGTTTTTGTTTTCAGGTTGCTCCTGGGGTTCACCCTGAGGTCCACGGGGCTGGCCGGTCTTCAGAGGCCCCGGGCGGCTCTTACACCCTAAGCCTCTACATCCCCAGCCTTTCACCAGGAAATCTGGGTTAGCCCCTTTCGCGGGCAGGCTGCCGAGCAAGCTCCGCCACGTTTCACTTCTGCCTGTGAAGGGTGTCAGGGCTGAGCGGAGGTGAGTGCTGGGTGCTTCCTCATCGTGAACAGGTGCACCTGCCTGTGGGCCCCAGGCCCTGAGGGCCTCTCAGCTGTTCCTGCCCTGCAGCCAGTGTGGGTGGGGGTCCAGGTTCTTCACAGCCCTGAGCAGCACCAAGCATCACCACCGCACAGCATCACCACACAGCACAGCGTCACACAGCATCAGCACACAGCGTCACACAGCACAGCGTCACCACACAGCACAGCATCACACAGCATCGACACACAGCGTCACACAGCACAGCGTCACCACACAGCACAGCATCGACACACAGCGTCACACAGCGTCACACAGCACAGCGTCACACAGCACAGCGTCACACAGCACAGCATCACACAGCATCGACACACAGCGTCACACAGCGTCACACAGCACAGCGTCACCACACAGCATCACACAGCGTCACACAGCGTCACACAGCGTCACACAGCATCACACAGCACAGCGTCACACAGCATCACACAGCGTCACACAGCGTCACACAGCATCACACAGCACAGCGTCACACAGCATCACACAGCGTCACACAGCGTCACACAGC